GACACACACCAATGTGTGTGTATATATAAAAATACATATCATATATATATCCATACACACCCACACATATCCCTTTCTCCATGCTTTCTGTATTAAGGAAATAATCCATATATCCTTTCTGGCTTGTTTTAATGTCAGTGGCTGTGACTGTTAGCAAAGGATCCTCTTAAAAAAAAAAAAAATCAAAAAAACCCAATGAACTAAAACTTATTTTAGTGAAGTTTATTTTTAAGAATAATTATTTTCTTGTAGAATTCTTTTCTTCTGCCTAGGTACTTTTTTCCCTTTCTTGAATGGCAGATTTGCAAGTACAATTTCATCTGCACAGAGGAACAATAGCTTTCAGTTGCACAAAGGATTTCTCCCACCCTGAATCCAAACCACAATGCCTCTTGCTCTGATAATAGCTTCTGAAAAGATTTTGTAATGCACAGAATTAATACATGATTATTTCCGCCTCACTTCTCTCATTTATTAGATTCTATAGTGAATTTCAAATTAAAAATAGCACCTCTTGAGTTTTTTAACGTTCTAATATTTTGAAACAAATTGTATTCAGATGTTCCTCTTTTTGCCCGTGTTTACTAAGAAATTTGCATTTTTTTATTAACGCTCAGAAACAAAACTGTGTAATATAAATGTAAAAATCAAGGTGTACGAAAAATGCCAAAAATTAGAATGTCAGATTGTTTAAAAATGAATTGCAGTAATTTTTCCTTTGTAAGCTGGAAGTGAGGTCAGGTGAAGTAACAGGCAAAGTGGGATGTAAATCGGGAACATCTTTTTAAATTTATGAAGCAAAACAAAACCTCAGCTTCAGTTAGAGTTTTGCTACAGCAAGGACCAGAATCAGGCCCCATGTCCTAAAGGAAATAATGAAGTGTAATTCTGCTGAGGCATCTGGAAGGTGAGCTTTTGCATCACTGCATGGGAAGCTCCTCTCTGCTCTTACAAAGACTTTCTCCCACACTTGCCACATAGGTGTGAGAACTTATTTACATGAAAGCGTACATTAAATATTTACTGACATTTGCCTGGGATTTGTTTGAAATGTCGGCTGTTCTGCTGCATCATGGGATGACACCGCTGAACGGGACGCTGCTCTTTGATTAGAACGGTGATTTGTGACTCCAGTGTTATGGCTGCTCTAGTTACTGACTCACTTTTGGGTGTATATAGAATGTGTTCTGTCGAGGGGCTGGGAAAGCCTATACGAGATCAGATCTTAAGCATTTTTTCTTCCTTCTTAAAAAACCCCACAAACAACAACAACAACAACAACAAAAAAAAAAAAACAAACACCAAAACAAAAACCGGAACAACCCCCAACCACAAACCTCCATAGAAGTGGAGTACTTCAGACAAACACTGTTGAGAGTAAGTAGTAGGTGTAATGCTGTTCTGAGAGAGGGTAAATCTCTGCATCCTAGCATTTAAGCTCAGACCAGGCTATTTCAAAGCAAGTAAAGACTGGCTGAACCTCTCCAAATCCTCTGTTAGAACCACTTCCTAAGCCATCATTTAGGAATTAGTTGTTTTCCTTCACTGGGACTCTGGTACTACACAATTTTCCAATGAGACAATCATTCAGAGAAGTGTCAATATATTCTATTACATAGTTTTAAAAATGCATAGTTACATGTAGCTGAGTTTAATATTTAATTATGTGTAGTTTATGTGGTCTATTTATTTGTTAAGCCTTGGGGTTGAGGAGCTATTGTTCCCCTTCCACCCCAGGAACAGGCACCATGGCAGCCCCAGCCAGCACAAGGAGAGGTGCTCTGCTTTAAAAGACATCCAACTGTAAATGTCAAATTCATAAATATTTAAACATTTTTCTTTCAATTTGAAGTCAAGTCTGACAGGACGCCTCTAATTAACCCTGGGATCCGTTTCAGGCTGGGGCCTTACTGCAGAGAAGAATCAGTGGTTTAGTTGAGGTGGGGAAATCTGTGCTCCTGGCTGGGGAGGGAAGGGGGCAAGAAGCAGGGGGCTGGTGACTAACTCGTCGCATTAATTTTTGCACGTTTCCTAATTCGGTGTTTGGTCAGATATCCGTCAGGATAAAAGGGCAGCTCTCCAGCTGAGTTGGGGGCAGTGGGGGCTGTTTCCTGATGGGGCGCGCCTGGAGGGGGGGCGTGCCCCGCTGCCCTCCGCGGCGCCGGGGTTCTCCAGCCCGGAGCCCGGGAGCGCCGCCGGTGAGAGCACGGAGCTGGGTGGCGGAGCTTCGCCGTCGGCTTTCGTCAGAGGCTTACCCGCAGACACCAGTGCCAGGGTATTTCCCGGGAGCAGGGAGGGTGGTGGTGGGGGGTGGGGTGTGTGGGCGAGGGGGCTAGCCGACGTGTCCTTAAGTACTAATTCCGCCCGAAGGCAGGGAGGGGAGAGTGTACCTCTCCGGGCCCCGACGGCTGCGGCTCCGGAGGTGCTTCCCCGGGAAGCGGGGAATGGAAGGAGCGGGGATAAAGGCCGGCGGCCCCGCGGCAGAGCCCCTCATCCTTCCCCATCAGCCGCTCCGACGGGGCGGGTAGCGCGGGCGGCCGCACAGCCTGCGGCAGTGGCCCTTCACCCCTTCCCTCCCTCTGCGGGGTCGGCATCCCCTCCCAGGGCACGGAGGGTAGGGCAGGCGTTGATGCTGGTCCTCCCAGACGTGCGGGGATTTTGCGAGCCCTCGACGGCCTGGAGCCCGTCACTGGAGACACAGCTACACTGGCTCCCCACGGAAGACGCTTACCGAGGTGTAAGCAATGCCAAACACGCATGGAAGGTTTCTAACTCTTTCCCGCGTTTCACGTTACCGGGTGCAGCGCTGGCGTCGGGCGGGGTATCTCGGCAAAAGCATCTTTTGTTAAGAGCAGCCAGCTCCGCTGCCGGTACCCCGGCTGTGTGGGGAAAGCTGTGGGGCAAAGTTGGAAGCAACATCTAAAACCTCTGTAACTGAAGGCGGGAGAAAGGCCAGAGCGCTTTCTCCCCCGTGTTTACTCGGGGCATTTGACAGCACTTTGCTGTCATCATTTTCATTGTTTCCCTCGCATAGCCCGTTCCCCGGGTGCTTGTGCGGCTCTTCCACACGGCAACCGGAGAAGGAAAATCGTTTAAAACCGTGGTTGCGAAAACAGAGAATCAAGAGATTCAGGAGCAGCGCCCGAAACTGCCCTCGCCAGACTCTTCCTGGCAGCGGTGCCCCTGAGCGCCCCCGGGGCAAAGGCGGGAGGAGGAGGCAGTGGGGGGCGGCTCGGGCCGCCCGGAGAGCGAGGCCGGCCCGCGGGGGGTCCGGGGGTCCCGGGGAGGGGGACCGGGGACTTGTCCCTGCTTCTCTGATGGGAGGCCAAACGCCGCGGCGAAGCGGATTAACGTCCCGGGGCGCAGCGCTTGGGGAGGGGGCGCCGGCACTTTGGCTGGAGCTGCCTTTTTAGATGCAGATTGCGACCTCTGGCCCCACGGGGCCAGCGGCCTTTCACGAAGATGCTAATGGCAGAGCGCAGCAGCCCTTTACCCCCCGGGCCCCCAGGGCCGAGGCGGCGGGAGCTACGAGCGGGCGGAGGCGGCCGTCGGTGCTGCAACCTCCCCAGTCCCTTTCCCCCCTCCCGGTGCGGGGCGAGACCGCTGCTCGGTGCTGCTGTGGCAGATACTTGGCTGCGGCCGCGAAGAGCAATGGGGAGGATGCAGGGAGGCGTCCCCGGAGCCCCCCGGGGCTGGGCGGAGGAGCCGGGGTGGGGGCAGCCCCGTTCTCCTGGTGGCTGTTGGGATTTGGAGGAGGGGCCGGCCGCGGTTTAGGGGAGGGAGGAAGGAGAGAAGCGGCGGGTCCGGCGGTGGCTGCGCGGGCGCGGAGGCGGGCGGCCCATGCCCGGCCTCGGCGAGTTCCGCACCCGCCCCCGCCCCCCGCCGCCCGGGGTTTACAAACCCGGCAATCCTCCTCCTCTGCCGGGCGCATCCAGGCAAGCAAATCCAAGAGCCTTCCTGAACCTGCATTTCCATTAACTCAGCCTCAGCCCCGGCTAATCCACAGCACTGAAGGCAAGGAGGCTAATTAATGACAAGCTTTTACAGTCAAGACCAGCGATAATTGCTTTGGTGGCCTTTATGATTACAAGATAAAAATGGACCGGGCCTGACATAAGAGCCACTGTGTACACTGCAAGACAGGAGGAAATTAAGAGCTGGCTAGCTGAATACGGAGCAGAAAATTACTAATAGAGGAGAGATAATGAATAGGCCGGCTAGGCATTCATGGGGAAAAATCCATTTTGTTACCACGCGAAATTAGGTGGTGGAAAGGAGTTTGCTAATTGTTCTCATCTTGTAGCAACCAGGACTGAGGCAGGGGCGTGCTTTTCAATTCATTTCCCTGGTAATTGTGAAAGGGGGAATGCAGGCCAAATGAGTCTTGCTGCAATTTGCGCGCCTGGTCTTTTCATTTTCATGTTGCGTTTTTAATTGTTGCTAATATAGCTTATAATGAAGCTAATGAGGGGAAATTATTGTACAACTTTTTAGCACATGGAGACGAGTGAAATGCACAAGAAGGATTCTCTCCTATTGCTGCAAAAAAAAAAATAGTAATCTGGAGGAGTTTGGAACTATCGGGCTTTTTTTAAATCCTTTTCGTTCTACACCAGACAAAAGGAAGGACCGCCACCTACTTTCTTTTTCTTTCTTTTCATTCCGTGTTTTATTTTTCACTCAAAGAAAAAAAATAGCAGGGATTTTCCCTCGCTGCCCCCTGACAGCTCCTGGCCCTGGATGCGGAGCTGCGAGGCGCGCCGCGGTGCTTGCGCGCTCAGCCAGCGAGCCCGCCTCCGCCTTTCCATAGTTAAATGCAAGCCGCGGGGCGGGGAGGGGATGGGATGGAGGGGGGCATGTCCGCGCTGCTGTCCCTGCCCCTCCGTTTGCTTCCATCCTTGGCTCAAAGTTAGCGCTGCCCAGTGCTTCCCCCCGACGGGGGCTCCCCGTTTCTCCGCGACCGCGCAACTCAGGCGCTGCCTCTCTCTCCTCCCCTGCAGAAAAGCAACGTCCCGCCGCTCCCGCAGCGCAGGGAAGAGGCAGAGTCCGCCAAATACCTTCTCCTCACCCTCCTCTCCCTCGCTTGCATCGCCGGGGTCCTGGCGGCCTCGGGGGTCGCCTACTGCCTCCGGCACCGCGCCCACCGCCGGCTAAAGGAGAAGCTCTCGGCCCTTGGGGGTGACGCCGGCGCCGACGCTACCGCTGCTTATCAGGTAAGGACCGAGCTCTTCTCTTCCTCCTTCTCCTTCTCTTCCTCCCCACCCTCCAGCTCTGCGCCCCCGGGGCGCCCGGCAGAGCCCGAGGGGACCCTTTTCCACTGGGAGCCGAGGGAGTGGGTTTGTTCCCTATATTACTTACCCCCGCCCCACTCCAGTCATATTCCCGCGGATTCACTGTAGCAGCTTTTTGCTGCTGGATATTAATCTTGGCTATTTTGGGAGTTGCTGTAAATTCGTGCCTAATTAGAAGCATTAAAAAAAAACAAAAACCAAAAAAACAAAAACCCAAACAAACAAAAAACCAACACAACAAACAACAAAAGCCCTTGCCATTGAAATTCTCTGAAAAAAAATAGCATTAATATCCATAATCTGCCACCCCTGCCACTATTAATAACAAAAAATCTTTAACATTTATGAGGAATGGATTGCACGGTTATCTGAAGATGTCTCTCTTTTTGAGTAATCGACTTCTTCAGGGTCTGATATGAAAAGAACCTTTGACCCGATCTGTTGCCACCTTCTACCATTATTCAGATAAATGAAATCTAATGCTGATAGATGGGAAGGTAAACCAGGACTGGTTCTGAGAGAACAATGGTAGCAGATGTGTATCCAGTAATATGGGAGCACTGCTCTCAGATTTCCTGAAATAAATCAGAAACCTCAGGCTTTCTCTTTCACTTTCAAAAGTATTGGGTGGAGAGACACTGCATCTTCCCAAAGTTTGTTTTAGACCATGGCACTTACTTCTTGGTGTATTGCTGGTGTGGTAATGCATGTGTTATGGTCCTAAACCACAGAACCCTGGTCTGCTATCCCAAAATACTTGGAATGTGACTAGGAAAAAGAATTGAAGAATGTGTAAACATTGTTGCTGTAGTATCCATGTGTGCTGTGCATTGGTAGGGTCCTGCTAATGGCACTCTACTGTCAAGCTTTATTTTACCTTCTTGTTCTGCTGAGGATCAGACATTGAGGCCTTGCTTATTCTGGAGCAGAGGTAGATTCAAATTGGCATCTGGGAGTCATACGGGAATAAACTCATATTTCCTTGTGAAGTTTGGGTCTGTCTGTACCTCTTGCACATTAAAGAGGTGGTGTATTAAGCACATCTCCACAGGCTGAGTCGAGGGAGATTTTAGTACAGAGTGATAAATATGAATGTTTTTATCACTTTTAGTATCTTCTTGAATAGCTTTGGTTTTCAGTTTAAATGGAATGTTTACTTTAAAAAAAACCCCAAATCTTTAAATTACTTCGCATCTTTAAATTTACTGACTTACAATGCAAGAGAGAGAGAGAACATTTCCAGTGGAAAAAAAAAAAGAAAAGGAGTGTCCTGCAGGATAAAGTGTGAACAAACCAGCAGTTTGTCAGATCAGTTTTGTTGGCCAAAGAGGCTGTGGCCATAAATGTCGTTTGATTTCAATATGGAACTTGCTGTTGACTTATTTAAACTGCAGAAGGGATAGGTAGTCTTTTTCTTCTGTTAAATGTGAATACAAGAATTTGTAACTTAAAAAAAAAAAAAGCCCTCCAGGTTCCAAAATCACACTTGAAACTGAATTTGTGATAATTAACAGGACAATCTTCCTACTGACAGCTCTAATTAATAGTATCTGTAATTAAAATCGTGCCCTTCCAGCAGGAAAATTGTTTGAATTTCTTGGAGTGACCTTTTTTGCCATTTCTCCTGGGAGTATAGTGGTTGATATTGATTTTATAATGAGCTCTGGTTTGTTTAATAAGAATCCGTAATCCAGACACTAAATGAAATGTGTGCTTCATATCTTCTTCCCAGATTTATATATATTTTAAAATCTCCTTGGTTAGATCTGAGAGTGTCATTTTCTGTTTAAAAACAAGAACGATGCTTTGAGGATGCTGCTCAGTTATTTCAATAGCAAGACTGTATTAATATTCTTTGTTCCTGACCTTTGGGCCCAGTCCTGACCACCTGAGTTTTTAACCGTTTCCATTGTTTTTTTCAGGGTAACTGTAGTCATGAGTGGGAGGAAAAATGTTTTTCCTTAACTACAGAGGTTTCTAAGGGCTTGGCTCTCCTCCCGTGGAAATAAATGGGAATTTTGCCATTTGTTTCAATGGCAGCAGTAGGAGGCCCCAGTATAGGCAGACAAAATACTCAGGCAGTTTTGATGCTGCTAAGTAGCATTTTATCAAAATGAATCACTGAGGCTCATTCTGTGCATAATAAACTATTCATGTGGATTTGAAGAGAAGTAGGATTGAGCCCTATTCGCATCGTCAAAATCGCCTTATGTTGAGCTGTGTTAAATGTAATGGATATCTGGTATGATGCATGTTTTGGATAACATCAATTAGGTCTCAGAAAAGCATCAATTATCTTTTTCCTCATCTTCTCTGGTACTCATAGGGGAATAATGTAACCCGTATTAATATGGGAGAAGAAAAAAGCAGATAGCTTTCAAAATTGTACCTACTTTGTTCCCTTCTGCTAAATGTTTCCCAAGTATGTACTCGGTTAACTCAGTGTATTTTAAAAATATGAAACATTTCAGCAGCTGCTGCCACTAGACTTTAAAGCGCAATACTCAAATATGTTGCTGCTTACAGCTTAAGTGACAATTCAGATTTATTTTTTTCTTATTTGAAGGGGGAGAAATTGGTGGGTATGAAAGGGCCTGGTGGCCCAATGTGATTCAGAGGGAACGCTGAAATATTACGTTGATTCACATGCTTCTCAAAATGTCAGTGGTTTGTATCTTCACATAAACAAGACTGACCTAAATTTTCAACATTTAGCAGAAGCATTTTTCATCCTAACCCAGTTCAGCCAAGAGAGTTCATTTGGGGTTTCACTCCTTCCTTAGTCACCCTGTGAACTTTGAAGAGGTTTTTTTTTTCCCACAGCTGCTTTTCTTTTTTCTTTTTTTCCTCTTTTCCTCCCCATCTTCCCCTTCCCCCCTTCTCATCTGTGCAGTGAAATACCAGCTTGAGAAGGAGAAAACAGACGCACCATATAGTCAGGGAAATAGCATGTTGCCTGCTAAGTCTCCCCCTGCACCAGAGGTGTAGCGCCTGTCATGCGCGTCACTCTCCCTTGGGCACTCACCTGCTGGTATGAACAGTCCTTGTGTGAACATGCCTACCTACTAACATGAGTATTTCTTGTGTAAGTGCATGTAGAAGTGACCAGTCTTAGGCAGGACAGCAAATACCATTTAAAACTTGCAAGCAGGCAAATAAAATCTCTGCAGTGCCCTTGATGAGCTGTCGAACGTCCCAATACTGCTTGAAGAGGTACCTGGTTCTTCAGGTGCTTGGTAAGGCAAGCAGCTGGCCTTCAGCATGTTAAGGTCAGCTCTGGGAGACTAAACTCTGTGGAAAGACTGAGTACCACTAAGAAGGGCAGATACACAACTGCGACTTCATTGATCTTTGAATCACTAAACAACAAAATTATAGGATGGTTTGATTAGTAGCTAAGGAGCTTTTCAAAATTCATGGAAACGGTGCATCTCATAAAACATTGTATGTGCATAAAACACATTTTATACATCAAGGCAGACAATTTTTGTGTAACTTACAAACACATTTCCCATCCTTTCAAATCACACATGTAATGATTAGATAAGTCAGCGTTAGCCACTCAGGGATGACTAAAAAGAGGTTCTTGCTGCCTCTGCATTGCCCCTGCGCATGCGTGCACCTGCACCCGTGTTTTTAATTGTTGCTCGTATTGCTTTGATCTTCTTTGAAAAGCAAGTTTAGCATTCTGCAAGCCCCCTCTCTGGTCCAGCAGAATAGGGCAGAAGCGTTCTAGGAATTTTCAGCAGCCACTCTTTGATTTATTTCACAACACTGAGCAGATTTTCTTCACTCACTTTGAAGCCTTTAGAACATAACCCAGAGAGAAGCGAGCATGCAGACATCAGGGGGCGGTCTGCAAACAGGGCCACTAAGTGCACATCTTACTTGTCACCGCTCCCATTAGTGAGCAATTTATTAATGTAATGAGTGTGTGTTAGTGACTGCTACTATTTAGGGATGCTCTGCTTGATTCAGGGTGATGTATCTGTGAGTCCAACTGAACCCTGGCGTTTGACCCCCATGTGGGGAATGCTAGGTTGTGCAAGATATTAAATCATCAACATATTTTATACTTTGAGCTGCAGAACTTTCCTATGGGCATGGTCTTATGCATCACTGATAGTGCTCAGCATAATGTTGCCCATAATGAAATTTAAAAGCAAAAGTTAAAATGCACTGAAACTGGCTTCAGAAAACCTGTGTTTTAATACCAATTTTATACCAATAATGTTCTTTTTAATTTTCCTTCATCTCCACCAAAAGAGCTTCCTTTAAAAAGTGAGTGGGCCACAACCAAATAGCCTTCAGGGAAGTTTGTTCTTAAACTGCCTGAGGTATTTCAGGTTACATGAGCCATGTGCTGTCAGTGCAGCTGGATTGCATCATCAGCTGTTTCAAAAATTTGTTCAAATAACCTGGTTTGGCAGGCATATAATTGTAAAGTATATGTTAAATTCTACATTATCACATGTATTACATTATATACAAATTATATATTCCTTTGTCAGATACAGTCTTATTAATTACATGATCCTTCTGGATTCAAAGCCATCAAGAACTTCTCTGTGCTTTTATAGACTTGATCCTGCTGTTATTTTTCATTAGAGATGTTAAGAGCACAGTATTTGCCACAATTACAATAAATATTTTGCTGCAAATATTTTAAAAGGCTGCAACTGAAAGAATCCACTGGAAACATACTCTCTTCTTAATCACCATGCCTGCTTTGTGTGTTTAAATACAGATAATTCACTACCTCTAATATGGCTTTTACACTGTAGACTAACTTTCACAAGCAAACTTGTTATTACAGTATTAGACCTTAATGTTATAGCAATACTGTATATCAACTCCTTAGAAAATTGTTTTTTTATGAAGTGAAATGGAAGAATGGAAAAAGGAAAATTTTGCTGTTCTTA